GATAAAGACTTCAAAGAGTTAGCTAAAAGGATATTCCCACCTCTTTGTATGTGAATAGCTTTATTGTGAAAGGTCACCCTGGTGCAGAGGACAGCTTAGTGTGAGGAAAAAGGACAGAAAAAAAACCTAAATCACTTCTTTTTATAAACCATCACCACAGGGAATATTTGGAAAGATCTTGACCCAGTTCTTCTGGTATCTGACTCAGCAACAGGCAAGTAACTGAAGTGTTGGGCTGCTCAATAAACTCAACTCCTGTATTTTACAGCTCTAGGAAAAGTAAAATCTTTAAAAGAAAAAAAAGGATTGTCTTTGGGAGGTACGGCCTTGCACATCTTACACAGGGAAAGCGGGCTGCCTTACTAATTAGGAACAGAACTGTAAAACATCTCAATTAATGTGAACTGCAGGGATGCAGTAACATACTTTCCTTAAAAGGAAAACATATCTTATCTGTTTATCAGAATCCTTTGAACAAGTCAGCAAAATACTGCATAAACACCAATGCAAGGCACAATTAATGTGTTCTTTTAAGGACTCCACAGCAGAATCAAAGAAGCACAGAATAGTTGAGGTTGGAAGGGCCCTCTGCAGCTCATCTAGTCCAATCCCCCTGCTCAAGCAGGGTCACCTAGAACACATTGCACAGGATCGCGTCCAGGCGGGTTTTGAATAGCTCCAGCGAAGGAGACTCCACTACCTCTCTGGGCAACCTGGTCCAGTGCTCAGTCACCCTCTCCGGAAAGAAGCTTGTCCTCAGGTCCAGATGGAACTTCCTGGCTTCCAGTTTCTGCCCGTTGCCTCTTGTCCTGTCACTGGCCACCACGGAGACGAGCCTGGCCCCCCATCCTCGCGACAGCCTCCCTCCAGATACTTGGACACGTTGATGAGATCGCCGCTCAGTCGTCTCTTCTCCAGGCTCATCAGGCCCAGCTCTCACAGCCTTTCTGCAGAGGAGAGATGCTCCAGTCCCCCCCTCCCCCCCATCCTCTTTGTAGCCCTCCACTGAACTCGCTACAGTAGTGTCGTGTCTCTCTCTCTCTCGTACTGGGGAGCCCAGAATTGGAGCCACTACTCCACATGTGGCCACACCAGGGCTGAGGAGATGGGGAGGAGCACCGCCCTCCACCTGCTGGCAACACTCTTCCTCAGGCACCCCAGGATCCCCTTGGCCTTCTCGGCCACAAGGCCACATTGCTGCCTCATGCTTCACTTGTTGTCCTCCAGCACTCCCAGCTCCTTCTCTGCAGAGCTGCTTTCCAGCAGGTCAGCCCCCCCACTCTCTCTCCCTCCCTCCCTCCCCCAAGCCTGTCCTGCTGCTTGTGGGGGGTGTGGGTCTTCCTCCCTAGGTGCAGCACCCTACACTTGCCTTTGTTGAACTGCAGCAGGTTCCTCTCCACCCAGCTCGCCAGCCTGCCCAGGTGCCTCGGCATGGCAGCACAGCCTCCTGGTGTGTCAGCCACTCTGCTCACCTTTGGAGCATCAGCAAACTTGCTGAGGGGGCACTCTGTGCCTTCCTCCAGCTCCTCGAGGAAGACATTGAACAAGACTGGAGCCAGCACTGACCCCTGCGGCACACCGCCAGCTACAGGCCTCCAACTAGACTCTGCGCCACTCACCACCACCCTCCGAGCTCTGCCAGCCAGCCAGTTCTCCATCCACCTCACTGCACACTCATCTCAGCCACACTTCCTCAGTTCACCTGGGAGGATGTGATGGCAGGCAGCGTCCAAAGCCTCGCTGAAGTCCAGGGAGACAACAGCCACTGCTCTGCCCTCACCTACCCAGCCAGTCCTTCCAGCACAGAAGGCTAGCACATTGCTCAAGCATCACTTCCCTTTGGTGAATGTTTCACAAGAGGCTATTTAAAAAGTTAGTGGCCATGAGATGCAAGATAGAGCCATGTATGAAAAATGTTGACTAGACAGGAGGAACATGAGGGACACTGGTAGATTTTTCAGCTAGACTAAAAGTTAGCACCAGAGAGTGATGCCCACATTGCCTCTAGGAGAATAGTGTTGTGTCTTCTTTCATGAGGAAAGAAATATATGTAATGAGGTATGTCTTTCAGGTGACCAAATGGTATTTTCATTTCTCTAAATGAGTAATGACTATATTTATCTTTGAGAAGCCTTGCATTGGCACAGAACAAGCAAAATGTGGGATAGAAAACACTGAGCAGCTCCTATGCCTCAGGGGCCCTGGACAGGAACTCTTAAACATCTTTGTTAGGAGTGTAAAAAAATCTCTGCTCAGTCTGTGAAGGTGAGACACTGCATTCCTCCCATCTCTCTGCAGGCAGTAGCTGAAGTGCCCAGAATTGGTGTTGCTCCAGGCTGCCTGTATGGACAGTGGAGAGAAACAGGTAGCCGGAGACAGCAGCCCCTTCCCCATTCAAATCTGACTTGCCCTCTGGAGATGCCTATGGCAGCTCTGTTCAGGTCTTAGAAGCTTCAGTGCAATGCCTGAAATTATGTAGGATGATTCTGGGTTGGATTGTTTGTATTTCTTAAAAACAAGATGAGGAGTAATCTGTCTCTGATAGATAAAGGTCACTGCCCTTAAAGAATGGTGAGTGCTTGGAGTCCTCTCTGGCCTAGTGTGTTGAGACCCTGGCATTGGGCATGAGCATGCGCATAGAGGCTCCCAGACATGGGGATTCTCAGTGCCGCTGTGTGGGGAGAATGCTGTGCCCCAGGGTCTACGGTCATAAAGTCACCCAAGAGATCAATATTAGAAAACAAGTTCCCTGAGGATTATTCCACAGTGAGCGCTGAGGGAACATTAATAGTTTCCTCTGAACCAGCTGGGATTAGTTCCTGACAGCCACGTGGTGCTCAGGCCAGTCTACTGTGGCATTTTCTAATTCTCTTTGCTGTCTTTGTGGTTTGGGTACCTCTCTCCCCTTTCCTGTATTGCTCTCCTTTCCATGATCACTCCGTTCTGTCTCATAGTCTGCTCCTCTTCACTGCTGCACTCTTCATGTCTGCTCTTGCTCCACATACCAGGTTACATCACCCCACTCACTGCTACAGTCACTTCTGCACATAAAAATTATGTCCCCTGTGCTAGAGGTTTTCACATGTATTTTCCTGCATTTTAGGTCAAATCAGAACTTTGATAAAACTCAGTTGGCACCATCCACAGTCGCGTCAGATAAAGCCAGTGATAGGACCCCTACACACCAAGGTAGGTCACAGCATGGCAGAGTGCCAGCCAGAAAAGCACTATGTATTGTGGTGCAGAGTAATGAACATGGATGCACCTCTGTGGTAGGGGCTCACTGGCACTGTCCTGCCTTTGTATTGGGTGGTCCTGAGGCTGTGGTTTTGTGGAGAGGATGCCCAGGACTCTAAGTGCTGCTGCCGTTAGATGCCCCCTCCCTTGGCTTACTCCAGGTGTCCCTGCTGTTTGCCCTGCAGTCACAGCGAATGCGCATGATTCTGTCTACGGCTCACCTGGCCAAAGTGTGCTAGCGTGCTTCAATCCACCGTGTTTCTCCACATGCTGCTCTGCTGCTCCCACCAATGTCTCCTCCATTGCCCTCTCTGAGACCAGCCCCACTCGTGTCACTAACCGGACAGGTAAGTACCAGTCCACCAAGAAGGAAGTGCTGGGACAATGCTGAGGTGCATCAGTCCCACCATTGCTTCATCTCATGGTGCTAGCCCCTCTCAGCTCATTTTCTTCCTCTGCACCTTGTGAAAAGGACATGCAACCCGGCCTTCGAAAGATACCTGGTTTCATCAACACCTGCTGCTTGGAGGTGTTGAGACCTGCTCCAGCAGGCAGCCTGTGGGGCAAAGTGTGATTGCTGGGCTGATCAGCCTTTACTGCCAGTGTGGCATATTACAAGCATTCATGGTCATGCTGCTGGGGTAAGTGGGGACTGGAAGGTCTCTGGCAGCTGCCTGCTTTGCCAGTATGGGGCTGTGAGAGGTTAGGCTGGGCTGGCCAACATGCCTGAGCAGCTGTCCCTTGCAGCCTGGCCTCATTCCTGTGTTCGTTATGAGCAGTATTTTGACAGGCCATGAGGTATGCTGTCTCTTGGCTGCCCGAGCAAGGCTTTTGCAAGCTTGTTTGCTGTCACTGTTGCAAGAGGAACAATGCTTCGGGCAGTACCTGTAGAGCCCTAAAACCCCTTAACCCTGTCTTAAACACTGCATCTAATAAGACCACAGGTCTGTGCCCCCCCACTTTGTTCCCGCAGCCTGTCGTAGCTTCCCTTTGCTGCGGTGATCCCATCATTCCCTTCACACGCACAGGGCTAGGAGGCCTCAGCTGCTCATAAAGGCTATAAAGTAGGGACAGAACAAACCTCCGACCTTGTAGCTGTTCCCTCTGCATTGGTCCCTTCCCTGCAGGTGAGCTGAGGCTCCCTGGGGCCTCAGAAGTTGGGAGTGCTGCCTGCTCTCTTTAAGTCACCTGAACACAATCTTTCTCTCTCTCTTTCCTTTCTTCACAGACCAAAGTCAGACCTCACTTCTGCCAGTGACAAATATCAAAGCCAAATCCAGGGGTGTCACCGGGAAAGCAACCTCCTACACCAAGTGGCCAAAGACACCTGACAGGTCTCAGAGCTTCGGCAGCCCCAATGCCAGCCCCTCCTCCCCTTTCACCCACGTCCAGGGCAAATCCAAGTACATCTCCAACCTCTCGCTCTCCCGCAGCAACTCGCCGCTGGCGCAGGCCCGGCAGCAGCGCAGTGTCAAGCAGCCAGTGAGCGAGTGGCCCCGTGCAGAGGATCCTGGCACGGATGGTAGGTGGGCCCCCTTCTTTTCCATCCCTGTGAAAACACTGTTTTCCTGGGCTGCATCCTGGCAGCCTTCTGCATCCTCACCAACTGAGGCTTATCTGTCGTCCTTGGCCTGCTCACTGTGTCCCTATATTGTGCCAGAGCTGTGCAGGCCCCAGGTCTTCTGGTGCAGTCAGATTCAACATCCAGCCCTCCCCTTCCTTCCCCACATGGCCTGCACTTTCTGGCCATGTTAGCCAGCTGCCTGGTTGCTTTCTTGAGCTTTCCCAGTTCCCTTTTGAGACTACCATGCCAACATCTCCTTTCCTACTCCCATCACAGCTTGCTCGGCTATTTCTAAATCAGACCTAGAGGAATATACACAGATTCAGACATGGTGGCATCAGAAAGGTGTGCTAATTACCAGCCCATGGCACAGTCTGGGACACCCTTTCTCAGGTGCAGGAGGCAGGCCCACGAGTATCCCTTCATCTGTCACCCAGCTCCCTCAGTGCAGTGTAGAGCAACAATCAAATCCTCAGAGCAGCTGTGGGGTGACCTTGCTTAGATAAGGTACCCTGCTGTCTAACATGAGACCAACATCCAGCCATAGAGCAGAAGACTCCAGGCTGCAGGGAGAGGGGCACATGGCAAGAGTGTAGGACCGGAGCTCAGACTGGCAAGGGTGCCATGTCTTGCTAGCAGAGGTGATTAAAAAGATGTACAGTAAGCAGTGCCTAAGGAGTTTGGGACCCCTTCTTTGTCAGTAAGCAATTGCACTCCCCACCATGAAGTTTCACACTCAAGTTCAGGTCTAGGTGCTAGGAGCAAGAGGGATGAGTGCTCAGCTGCCTGTGTTATCCCAGGGCTGGTGAGCTCACAACTCCTCCAGCAGCCAAGCCAGGTCATGGCAAAGCAGGGTATGACCATTGGGAGCAGTGTATGCTTGCTCACCCAGATCATTACTTGACATGGTGTTAGCACAGGCCGACAGCAATCAGACCCCCTCCTCTGACGACACAATGATGAGTAAAGGCAGTCTCAGTGCCAGACATCCCTTCCAGCTCTCCCTTTGCTCCTCTTAAATGGTCTGTCTCACACTCACAGGGCCAAGTCCAGTGCTGCACTCCATCCGGATCTTGGAGATCAATGTGGCCATCGAGTCCCAGTACTGTGCAGCCAGCGATGCTTGCAGGTGAGCGAGGCAGGGCTTGCTGCCAGTGCTCTGGTGGTAGCAGTGTTGTGGAAGCTCCAGTAAAAGGAGTAGATAGCCAGCTCCTGGAGCCTCGTGCTTTTTCTCTCCTGCTGCTGTCCCAAGGTAGCCCATGTTTTGCCCCTTGGACAGAGGTGCTGGGGACTGGCTTTGGCCTCAATCCGTGCTCCTTTGCTAAGACTGCCAGGAGGAAGAGTGCTGCCTCTCAGGACAATGATTTGGTGATGAGCTTGTCCTTGGGAACTAGCCTCGGAACCCCTTCCTTCTGAAGTCCCAGCCAAATAGAGACTATGGGTCCTGTCCTGGGACATCTTACAGCAGGATGAACTGAAGCTGCAAAGTCTAATGCTCTCTCTCTGTCCTCAGGACTGGAAACTTCACCTACCGCATCCCTGTCAGCCAGCTCACAGCAGTAAACACCAATCTGACACTGGAGATGAAGTGAGTGAATGGGACTCCTTTCTTATGTGTTTCTGTTTCTGGCAGAGACCAAGGGTTGCAGACCATGGGGTGGGTAGGGATCCACCAAGGTCTGCTTAGAGGGAGAGGGTTTGCAGGGTGTCAGTCAGGAGTGGATAGAGGAGGAGGTGAATCCAGGGATTAAAAATTTTAAAGATTGATGGGGGAGATGGTCTAGGAAGTGGACTTGGGAGCCGGAAGTCAAAGATGATGGGAGTGGTAAGCAGAGATCACAAGGAAGGATCAGGAGCAGCTGTGAGCAGAAGTTTGAGGGAACTGTCACTCCTGTGGCTTGCAGTGGGGTTTTGGGAGCGACAGGACAGACTGGGAAGCTACTGAGATTAGATTTCAGGGTAGCCAGGCTGGTCTCTTGAAGTCAGCTGGATACTCTGCCATGTGGCCATGTTATCTCCTGCACGTGCTAGGAAAGACACAGTAGCGCCTGCTCCCTTCCATGATCTCACTGTGCCTTTGTCTCTCTAGCACCTCTTCTGTTGTGTCCATCTCCCTTTGTGGCCTTGTCTCTAGCGACCCATGCCAGGATGCTGCAAGCATGGACAGCTTCATCAATACCACAGACACACAGGTAGGGAGGTGATGGCTCACAAAGGCCATACACTCACAGGCAGCCAGATGTTATGCATCATCCTAGCACAGTGCAGTTACCTTCAGGGCAGGGGGGACTAAAGCAGTTGGGCTAAGGTAATACAGAAGTTGCTTGAGGGAATTCATGCTCAGACAGCCTTACTCTGCACTTGTTAATGTAAAGGTACCTCAGACATCCCTGCATGCCCCCCAACAGGGAAGTGTTTGCCAACCTGATATGTGAATCATTGATGCTGTGGTCACTCAAATGAAATCATCCCACCCAACCCCTGAGCCCTGGAAAAGCCTGGGCCAGGCTGTATGTTGCTGTAACCTGTCCTAATAAAACTCTTTCACGGGTATTCCCTGCAGGTATCTGTGTGCTGAGTCTGCATCAAACTCTTCATAATTCCCTCTGGACTCACAAAAAGTTATGTGTGGGGGTGAGGTTGGCAGTGTTAGAGGAAAAAGTAGTATTAGGTTACAATAGCTCACTCCATCCAAGGCAAGGGTACATGACATGGCAAAAAATGAAAAGTGCTGGCAGTGTTTTTAGTACTCCAGGAGGTGTTAACAGTATTTTTTATTTCAGACAAAAGGTCATTTCCCCAGGCCAATACTTGCAGTAATTACACCTACTTTCCCCTTGGTTTCTGTGATGGCTCAAGCAGCAGCACAGTTGGGGAGCTGCACTTTTGAGAAGCTGAGGAAACATGGTGTGGATATCCATGCTAAGAGCACAGGGTGATGGGGAGAGGGCCAGCTTCCAGAACAGGCAGAGCAGAGTCAAGGAGCTTGGCAAGCACTGTACTCTGCATAAGCTCAGTACTTTTTTGCCTTGTCTCACAACCTAAACCAGTGCCACTAGCCTTTTCTGCAAACTAAAGCTGTGGGCTAAGCTAGCTTCCATGCTTGTGATGCCTATGGAGCTGGGTAAAATGGTTGAGTTCCTCTTTGTTCCACTCAGTCCAGCTCTGTTGCTGATCTTGGCTCCTCCAGAAAGACAGCTGTAGGATCATCTGACAGAATGAGGTTATGTATTTCTTTGCCAGTCCATCCCAGGCAAAGGTCCCCTAATGCTCAGGACTAGTCTCATCCCAGCTATTCTGTTCTCTTCCCCAGGAAACAATGCACCGTTGGCCTCTAGTGATGATGTCCTTCCAGGAGTTCACCTACCACTTCAGAGTAGCCCAGCCTGTGAGTACAAGCTGTCTTTTCTGTTGTCCAGGGCTGAATGGAGAGTGGAGCAATGGGACCCCAGCAGAGTGGGCAGGGCTGTCTCTGCTCATGGGTTTAGCGGCCACATCATGCTTAGAGCCTTCCACAGCCCTGTATATCATGGTTGTTCCCTTGCACTCAGTTACACCTGTAGTGGAGGAAGGTAATTTACTTGAGGAACAAGTGCCCACCCATGCACTGGGAAGGGCAATGGAAGAGCAGACCTGCTCACACACAGCCTAAAAGAGGGTATGATTTGTGTATCCTGAGGCAGTATGTGAATCTAGGGACTTACCCTTCACAAGCTCAGCCTGTAGCTTAGGCACAACTCCCTTAGAGCATGTATCCTGCTTCTATCTGTAAGCTGTTTTTTTTGCTTTATCACATAGGGTCGAGCCAACTGCAGCACTGCTCCTGAGCAGATGGGACACCTTTTCACTGACTATTATTTTCAGTTTTACTGGCTCTGTGAGTGAGTCCTGGCACTGCCAGTGTCCTCTGGTTGGAGAGAGGAAAGGGACTGGTAACACTGGGGAGACTCCTGTATTACCCTCCTCCACTAGCCCCCAGCCCCACCTTATCCCTGTCTCCTGCTTTGGGTGTGGAGCTGGTTTGGTTGTGGCCTGGTGACACAGACACTGAAGCACAGCACACACAGAGCACAGGACCTATGCCACAGAAACACAACCAGTCCTGTGGTTTCTCCTGGGCTGACCCTAGCACCAACTCCCACCATCCCACACTGCCCTGAACAACTCTCTCCTTCCCTTATGGGGACAATTGTGTCCTCCATCACTTCTCCCTCCCCCTGCTACACTGGATTTGAAAGCATTACACTGTATGTGAATGGGCCTGCCACACCCCAGAGTGCGACTGGGAACTCCACCCTGGCCCAGTGGTTCCAGATGTGCTGCATTAGCTCTCTACAACACTGGAATTGCTCAACACTGGAGGCCTTTCCAAGATTGAAACACTGGAATTTCTTCTGGAAAGGAAGGCTGCACCTGGACATACTGGAAGTTATACACTGGAGTTGCTGTTCCTTCTAGTTGGCCCAGGGCCATCCCCGGCAGCCTTATTCCACAGATTCCTGGAGGCCCCAGGATCCATGAATTGAATGTTCTCTGCTGACAGCAAGAGAAAGGGCAAACATCACCGCTGCTGCTTCTCTCCCTCTCCTCACTGTACTCTAACCTCCACAGCACACAGGTCTGGATGGATAAACTCAAGAACCTCACTAAGACACTGCTAAAGCTGTACCCAGGTCAAACCATGTGTGGGGGACACTTGTCATCAATGCATGGGATAATAATTATTCCAGTCACCTGCCTTAAGTGTTGTGGGAGCCCATTGTTTGGCAGCAGTGTGTGGCCTCTCTCAGTGGATGTGGAGCTGCTCAGCTGGCTGTAGAGTCAACGCAACCACCTCTGCCCAGATGTGCTAAAGGGAGACCGTTAGCAAAGCCTGCTGCACCCTGCAGAGCAGGATTGGGGTTGCCCCAGACATGTGGGTCGGTTTCTCTGCACCACCTGGTGAATGCAGCTCTGCTGTCTGATGGATCACTGCCAAGCAGTGAAAAAAATGACTAATCTTCTCCCATCACAGAGGGGGAAATGGCAGGGACTGTGGGCCCTCACTCTCACTGTTGTTCTCAAAAAAGCAGTTATGTTGAGCGTATTTTGGGTATTTTACTGTTACAAGTTCTTAACTTGCTAAACTACTGATTTTTTTTAAGTGGTATAAAAATGGGCCTCTTAATTCTGTTGCTATTGAGCTGTGTGTCTCTCACACAGGAAACCAAAGGGGGCCATTGCTAAGCTCCATGTTAAAGCTTGACTGCTACAGTGGTATTGGGATATGTCAGACTGACAGCTACCAGTGCCCATGTGTCCTTCTCCCCATCCCGCTCCAGCACCTCTTAGTAAAGAAGGAAACATCTACACTCCTGGAGGTCAAGCCACTACCAGATTAATATTTTTTGAGACTTTTTTTTGAGGAAACAGCAGCCACCTCTGGAGAAAGGAAAGAGCAGTGAGGGGAAAAATGCCACTCTTCATTCCTGAAGCAAACTCAAAAAGTGGTTTCAGAGAAAACAAACAAACAAAAAACCCCCCCAAACCCTTGCACAGTCCTGTCACTAGATGTAGGCAACTCTAACCAAATTAAGTTTGGGCAACCACATTGGGGCCCCAGCTGCTGGTCTTTGTTGCTTTCAGTGGAGACAGCTGCAGCACATTTATACCAGCACTGAGGAAAGGATGGCTGACATGCCCCGACACCACCACCAGTGGGATCTGCTGCACAGGAGAAACGAGCTGCAAATATGCTTTAGCCAGATACAGAGACAGTTCCTGTATGGATCTCTTGGGATCATTCCCCAGTCTGGGGAGCAGTTTTATCTGCCTTGTGTCTCTTGTCTCCCATTTCAGAATTTCTTTCTGAGCCTGTCCTGAGAAAGCAGCCATAGCCTTGCAATTCCTGGTGCCATCACTAGGTGTTGGCATCTCTGTTTCCAAAGGACCAGGCCCTTTATTTGTAGGGTGGTTTCAAGGTCAGGTCTTCATTCCCATTCTGTGCCTTTGGGACGCAAACATTGTTAATGCTCTGTAGTTACTAAAATGCACTTAAACCTTGGCAGCTGGGAACCAGAGTGAGCAGTGAATTCCTGGCAACCAAATGAGTATGCAGCTAGAGGACAGTCTTCTGCCCAACTGTGGGGAACTCAGAGGGAAAGCAAGAAGGCCAAGGACTTGGTAGTAACTAATCACAAACAGGTCAGCTCTATCCTCAGTAGGACTTGCTGTTCCTGCCCAGAACTCGTAAGGAAACCCAATGCAGCTCTCTGGAGAGGACACTCAGTACTCTTCCAGTTCCTTCCCTCCACCTGCCTGAGCTTTCTTGATTGGCCTCAAACTGGGAAGTTACTATCTTGGCAGCTTTTATTCTCCACTTGGCAATCAGTGGCTCAGTCTGGCAAGTCCATATCTAGGTGAGTGAATGCGCACTCTTCTAGGTCTGCTCAGCTGAGAGGTAGCAAGCATTCTCAGGCTCGGTTGCTGCTGTCCCTACTCTGCTGAGCTACACTGAATACCTGTGCTTTCATTTAGCAACTGAAGAGATAACTGGCAATGTTATGAGGGTGAGAGCTGAAACACTGCCTGCAATCACCACTACCCAACCGATCCCCCATGAAGTTCTCACAGGCAGTGGCTGAGGTGAGCTAAGATCTGCAAGTGCATCTCACCCTCCTACAGAGGAAGCCGATCCTGGAGGGGAGGAATCAATCACCAGAAATGGGAAATAGTCATGGCCCAACAGGAGATGGAGAGTCTCTCAGGTATCCCTGTGACACTTAGGCATGGGGTTTACAAGGGGCCCTAGCAAACCAAGTGCCTAAGGGCTACAGGAACATCTCTAGTGCCTTTTTTCTGCTAGTAGGACTGTATGAGGGAACAGTGGCTTCCCACATGTACAATAAATGCTGTGTGCCTCAAAAACAGTAGTCAGTCAAAATAGTGACACAAGGCAACACCTAAAATGGAAAGGCTAGTCCTACCCATATATAACTGTTTCAAGCAGAGTGGCAGTGGTATCAAAAGAAGAGACAGAGATTCAGAATGCAGTTTTTAGTGTCTTTTGTCACAACACTATCCTTTATCACGTCACAAATCATATGTCAGTTGTACCAGCCACCAAGCAGGAATACCAGAGCAAGGCAGAAACTAGAACGTAATAGGGGTTTTTTTTAATGCTGAAAGGGTAGCAGGATGGCTTCCAAGCCCATGGAAACTGCTTATATAGACTTCCCAAGAAGGTGTTTCTGCCTTATCCACCTGTAACTAAAGATGTTAGTTCCCCTTCCCAAATCAGTAAAAAGAACGAGTCAACAATCAGGCCTTTCCCTGCGTGAGACGGAGGGAGCTCTGAGCCAATGTCTCCAGCCTTGCAGCTTAGGAAAAACCCTCTTTTTTGTCCCAGCTGGAAACTAGAAGCTTCATCTCTCTAGACTTTCTTGACAGGAAGGAAAACAAGCGTGAAACTGAGGCCACTTTCCAAAGTTTGGCTGCTCTGCAGTTTGTTTCAAAAGCAAATTCACAAACCTTCTGTCCTACTGTTAAAGCTTAAAGCCTGTAAATAGAGACTATGCCACCACTGCAAGAATTAAAAAAAAAAAAAAAAGCACTAATTTGTTTGGTTTAAATGTTGCTGTCACAGCTTTAATCACTGTATATTGCCAGCAAGTTTGTAGAGTTGCATTCTTAGCAGATATTATTGATTACTGGTTTTTATTTGTGGGGAACAAGCGTGGTTCCCTCCTTTCTTTCTGATTTATATTTATATTTTGCTGAATTTGCGTGCTGAGTCTCCGGATTCCCCACATTTTTGTTTGGCTTATTTAGACTTTGTTTTATGCTGGAGGTAAATATACCCATATAAATAAATATATAAATACTGCTTTGTATCCAAGAATGACTCCTGGCTGCATTCCTCCCTTGTCCTGAAAAAATGTTTTTCAGTTCAGTAGTTATAAATTGCTTCTCACAAAGCAGCAAGACTGAACAACACTAGCGTTAGCTAGTTTCCAGAAGTGCCCAGATGGGGTCCAGTTGAGGTCAAAACAGTCATAGCCTGTGGCTTGCTCACCGTTATGCAGCATGCTTTAGTACAGATATAAAAAGGAGCTATCATCGCTCACACTTCAGAGGACAGGGCTAGATCCAGAAGCATCTAAGAATATCTGCACAGGGAAAGCTTCCTTCCAAAATAGAAAATTAGGGCTTTAAATCTGTAAGCTACTTGCTGAATGTCAGATTCTAAAACCTAACTGCTTTGAAAGCTGGGATACAAATGCAAAAATACCTTAAAAATGTAGTTATGCCTGCCATAGATAAATAATGCACTATCTAGCTGAAGGCCAGAGTCAGCTGCAAGATTATTCCGTTCAGTACTTCTCAAACATTCCCCCGAAAATCTGATTTCCCACAAGCATTGTTTGTGTCACTTACTGCTGTGCCCAGCAGACAGATGTTACTCTTGCTTTGCATCTGAGGAGCCACTCCAAGCTAGTAGGTGGTAACCCTAGTCAGAGGATGTTTTCCAAGTGCTGTTTTACTTAACTGCTGCACTGGCACCATACGCTGCCAGGTCACCTCAGGAGCCTGGAGCCTGACTGAAGAGCAGGACCAGATGCTTCCATCAGCTCAATTTCTAGTGCTAGAGTTCCCAACTGCACACTACAAATGGTAAGGGAACCACTTCAGAGTGGTTCCTGTTCCCCTCAGCCTCTGCAAGCGGCAGTTAGCGCTGCTGCTCCAAACTCAGTCCAGAGAGCTGCTAGGTCAGGACGCCTCAACACGGTGAGATACAGGACACTGCTTTCCAGTAAGAGGGTGAGGAAGGCAGATGGCAGTGAAGGTTGAGGGATAAGAACAGGCTTAGGAAAAAGAAGCTGGAAGCACTTGTTTTCTAGGACTCTTTCTGCACTAAGGCACAAGTTGGCACTGAAGTGCTTTCCAGGCATACACAGTAGTGGGAATCTATGATTAAAACCAAAGGAGCTGGGAGTTTAAAATTATTGGGATTAAGCTGCAGCTGATTGAAATGTTCTTTTTATGACTATGGTTTTGAACTTAACATTTTTTTCTGTAATGCCAACTGTGATACTATTTTCAGTCCAGATATGTCTAGAGATTTAAATACTTAAGACAGATAAACATCAGAAAGCACAGAAGTGCAATTCTCAAAAGCAGAGCTCCTAGAAAGGAACACTGAATACCACAGGATGGTCACACTTTTGAACAAGTCAGTTTTGATTTAGGCTTCTCCTGCACTGCCCTGCCTGCACAAAAATGACTACACAGTACACAGATGAAAAAAGACTAAGATAAGTACTCCTACCTAGCAAAGGCAAGCAGTCTTTTCGAGAGAAGGCATCCTTCCTTTATTCCCCTCCTCCCCCTATGTTACTGCAAAGAAATTACAAGCACTTCGTGCAGAACATTTCTGTTCCTGTCAGACCAGTGGCTCCCAATCTTTTGGGGTCACAGGAAATGCTGATCTTCAAGGTCTGTCAGAGTGATAACACATTCTTATCACTGAAATCTATCATAGAAGAAAAAGCCAGCAGTCAATAGCTAGTTTGACTGGTTAGCTGCATGCCACTCACTATGGCTATGAACTTCATTGCCTACGAAAACCATTGTCAAGCCACTTAAGTTCAATATTGGTGATGCTTGAGACGCCACCAGTTACAGCTTTACAGCATTAACTAATTTATTCAGTGGAATGCGTGTCTAAATTCAAATTATTTGTTAAACAGCCTAGAAGAAAATCTGAACTATGCCTGATTCCTTACAACAGAGCTGCTCCTGCTGCTGAAAACATTCTATGAAACGGCCAGTTTACTTTTGAGTGTAATACAGGGTCCATCACAAGGCACAGATCTTATGCCAAGATTAACGCGGTTTTGAAAAGCCAGGTCAAAAGGATCTGAAATACAAACTGCAAGTCCAAAAGTAACAAGTCCAAAAGTAGGTACATCACAGAACCAGTTTTATTCAGGGTTGGTTTGTTGTGCTGGCAGAAGTCACCTGACAGGAGCACAGTCCATGCCTGATATAGTCCTTGTTGTTGATGTATAAAAGAAACATAAAAAGAGCTTCTGCAAGCCTTCCCTCCTAGAACCAAGCAAGAGATGAAGATCACTCAGACAGTTTTCCCCAGAGTGGCACGTGGGACCAGACTTGCCATTAGTAAAGCTGCAGCCTGTCTGAACGGATACATGGTAGAGGTGAGCTTAGAGAAAGCTCCACACACACCAAGGGGCAGATCCTATATCAGATTTGTTCAAAAATGATTCTGCTAGGTCCAAAGGACTCCTTGAGGAAAGGACAATTTATGACAAATAACAATTCCTTAATACCTCAGACTGGGATTAATCCCAATTCTGCACATGTAATTCACAGAAAAGAGTGGCTGAGCACAAGAACATTCTTCAGCTGTATTATCCAGTGGTCACTTTGTAGCTCAGGTATTGGCAGAAGGGCAGCTGATGCACTCCCTGTGCTGCAAAAAGCAGCGGGCAGCTTTGCATCTGCACAGATGATTTGCTTTCAGGCTAGTTATGCTTCCCAACCCAAAGGACTGCTGCCCTGCAGGGGCTGGTGAAGCACAGCTGGCACCAGGACACTGCTGTTTGGTTGTTCTTAAATTCCCAATTCGCCCCTAAAGGAAGGTGGGTTTTGCAAAGCACAACCTCTCCCAGCTTGTCACAAGGTTGCATTTCCAGGAAACCCACACATGCATAACTAGCATTAACAAGCCCCAGTAAGCTCACAGTTATATGAGGTTTATTCAGTCACTAAGGATGCAGCACCCTGTGCCCCACATGGGCTGCCTAAGCTGTACCTGGGCTCCTTCGGCCAGGACTCACACGTAGATACCGACCCACAGCAGCAGGAACAAGACCCCAAAGCCCATGAACAGCGAGGCCACCAGGGAGATAAGCAGCTCCTTGTAGATGTCCCGCGTGTACTTGGTAGAAGTCACCTCATAACTGAGAGCCAGGGGTTAAGGCAAACACAGCTGCCAGCAGCATCGGGGCGGCCGGGGTCAGGAGGCCCCCATGGCGGCACAGCGTCCCCTGCCCGGCCCCCCCAGCCCCACTGCGGTAGATACACGAAGAACCAAGCAGTGAAGAACATGCCAATGGCCAGAAGCACCACAGTGAGGTGTGGGAACACAGCCGGGTTCACCGGGCTGGTGTATCTGCTCATTGCCTCCAGCTCCTACAGGGGCACCGCATGCAGCTCACTGCCGGGGCTCACTGGGAATGGCCCCCCCAGGCTCCCTGCTCACTGTCCCTGTACCCCCTCACCCCTGCAGCCCAGATCCCCCACCCAGTCATCATGGCCCCCCC